TGTCTGGTGGGGGGAGGGGGGCAGGGGGGGGGGGAGAGTGTTCAGATTGGGGGCAGAGCGGAGAAGAGAATGGCCGAGCGGATTTTAAGTAGCCCTGTTGCAAACATCCCGCCCTCAATCTGAACACTATTTTTGACCCCTCTGAGCTCTTCTCGTTCAATCTTAAGGAAAATGATTTACACCCTAAGCTAGGCTGGAGTCATTAAGCCGAAAGAGAGAGGGAAGGGAAAGGCAAAGGGAAAGGGGCATGACGGTCCTTAAAGTTGTAAAATCTCAATGCCCTTCAGATGGAAGTCCCCAGCAAAGATCGTGTATGCACAGTGCATCCCCATTATAACACGGTTTGCATTAGGTGGATTCGGAGATACCGCTAATCGGGTTGCACCTGCGGAAAACCAAGAGAACTGGAGAAAGAGCAAAAGTGCCACCTAAGGCTTGCAACCTGAAAGACCCAGTGGGGGCCTCTTTCCCAGCCCCAGTTCAGTAAAAAGGGGTCTCCGCCCTGGCATCTGAGATGTGGAGGCAACATCTGATTTTGCAATATTGTGATTTGCGAAGTGTCTGGTGACCGTGTGAAAAGCCAAGGAAACGTACATGCGGGCTTTGGGCTTTTTAAAATGACTGTGAGAAATCAAGGGCTTTTTAAAGGTCAAGATTTCTCCTGTGTGCATGTTTAGGGGGTCATTAATCTGACGGCCTTTCTAAACAGGCCTTCTCCGGGTTAGAAGAAAAAAGAAAACCAGGTCCCCGTCCCTCAAGGGGTCTTAGCCAGTCTGTAGCAATTTTCCCTTCCATCCGCAATAGGCAACACCCCGCTTCTGAAATTTCACTGGGTGGGCAGACGGTGCCCTCTGGAACAGAGCAGAGCGTAGGCCCCTCTCCTCTTAACTTGGTAGTTGAGGGGGAACACAACTGCCCAAGGACTAGTTTTACACCTTGCATGCTTAATCCTCACCCATGGCTAAGATTTCTAGCAAGAATTCCTGCCTAGCTAGAATTCATGGTCAGCTCTCTATGATTCACATGTGGCTTGCCCACTTAATGGATTTTCTGCAATTATGGTTTAATCAGTGCATAACTTCTGTCCACCCGGACTTGTCACGTCAGCAGGTGGTTGGGAAAGACCTACTTTATTATTTTTATCATTGTTATTATTATTTTTAGGAAAGACCCATTTTAATACTGGCCAGAGAAGAAGCTAATTAGGAAGGCAAATCCATGCAAATCCCTCCCACTCAAATAGGATGCACTCCGAAAACCACAGAATTTTTTTAAAGGATTTTATTAATTTATTTGACAGAGAGAGAGAGAGTGAGTGCAGGAGCAAGGGAGGAAGAGAGTGAGAGGGAGAAGCAGGCTCCCCGCTGAGCAAGGAGGCCGGGGCAAGGCTGGATCTCAAGACCCCAGGGATCTCTACCCAACCAACTGAGCCACCCCGGCACCACTCTCAGATTTTTGTTTTTTGACTACACGTGTTTTGTGATTACTTAGCCAGCTCCTGCTAGGAATAATTAGGAGTCGAGAGTCCACAGAAAATCTGGAATTCCCAGACCGCACCGATGGCTTCTCCTACTGAACTGTTGTCTCGCTTGTGGTTGGGGCTCCGGAGCCAGAGCAGGGTTCAAATCCCACCTAAGTTTCTGCCATGGGATAGCTGGATCGGGATTTGGTGAGAAAAGAGGTTCCGAGGAGGTCCATGTTGGTGTATTTAGAAGGGAATTGTTATGATGTTTGCAATTCACGCTCAAGTAGGTCAGGAAAAGAAATGGGTAGGGATGTGTGTGAGCGGGGGGAGGAGAGACAGAGAATAGACTGAGAGAGCACATGTAGTAAGAAATGGACACTTGGTGACTGGAGGGGGGATGGTATGGACCTTCCCTATGCTAGTCTTCCAACTTCCCTGGAGTTTGGAAGTGTTTCCAAAATTAAAAGTTGGAGATAAAATCTTACTTCTGCTTGCCCTGATCACCTGTGGTAGCAGATTATTCACTCCTTGCAAATCTGAGTTCCCTCGGCTCGAAAATGGACATTTTAATAGAACCTCCCCATGTAGGGTTGTTTATGGGGATTCAGTTGGGAGAATAGATGTCATGCCCTTCATGGGGCCTGTCCCTCCAGAACTGGGAGCAACTGCTGTTATCGTGCCATCATCATTTCACCTGTGATCATATACCGTCTCTTGTTGTCCTCGTGTGTCTCACATGCAAACATCCTATATCCTTCACTCCAATTTGAGACTCCAGAGGGCAAGATGCATTTCTTTTTTTTTTTAAGATTTTATTTATTTATTTGAGAGAGAGAGAGAATGAGAGAGAGAGAGAGCATGAGAGGAGGGAGGGTCAGAGGGAGAAGCAGACTCCCTGCTAAGCAGGGAGCCCGATGTGGAACTCCATCCTGGGACTCGATCCTGGGACTCCAGGATCATGATCTAAGACGAAGGCAGTCGCTTAACCAACTGAGCCACCCAGACGTCCCCACAAAATCCATTCCTTACACTTGTTCTTGTATCTATGGTCATTGCTGGCACAGCCCTGAGTAACCCAGAGCTAGTGAGAGGAGTACCTTGTTAGTTACCGTTCTGTGGCATCTATGGTCCTATAGCATTGCCTGGAAAATTATTGCATGCCCAAGGGCCAGCCATTCCTGACAACAGACCGGTAGAAGAGAATGTTAGTGTCGCGTGGTGGACACTGGAGAAGAAGGCAGGCTACCAAGACAATGGCTAGGGAACAGGTTTCTAAAATTCTTCAGATTGAAGGTCAATACCTTCATGCACCACCAGACTTTTGGAAAGAATGTCCACCTTTTTTTAAATCCCAGGAGGATTTACATTCTGCTGCTTGGCTTGCCGGATGAGGAGGAACTCGACTAAGCAAGTTGGACAGGTGCTCCCTCCCAACAAAGGGGAGAGCACAAACATTGCGAAGGACCCTCCACCCCCACCCCAGCTCTTGGATGAATGCCTCCATTGCCTTTGGAGGGAATCTGATCTTCCTGGCTCCAACCATTGACTCCAGTGAGTCTAAAACAGGCAGGGTAAATTCAACTGAAACCTTCAGGACCGACTTCAAAAACCCTGCCAGGACTTTTAAACATCTGGCTCTTGAAAAATCTCTGTGAGCACAAGAGCCTGAAACAGAGAATGGTGAGATGCCCTCATTCTTGAACAGATACAGACCATTCCAGAAGGTTCCTCTCAGTCCGTGCCTCTCTTCCCTTTCCTTTTGGTTGCTGTCTCCCTCCTTCCTCTTTCCTTCTCCCCTCAGTCATACCTCCTGAGGCTCGCTGAACAAGTTCCCTTCCCGCTAAAGGCTGGCAATGAAGCTGTGCATGTGGAGGTTGGCCGTGAGAGAGACAAAGCTGTTTAGTGTCTGCCTCCGTGTGACCCGGCTGATTGCAGCACCCACCTTCAGCCAGACAGAGTGACATCTCACGAAGCCCAGGAGGACAAGCTAGAGAGCTGGGTTGTGGCTTCTATGGAACCATTCATTGGGACATCTCAGCTTGCCGCAAGAATTTCTGCCCTCACAACCCACTAGGGAGTCTGCAGGACAGTGGGATTCAGGAGTTAAAGACCCACAGAGCCAGAAACTTCTCTAAGAGAGCTGGACTGGGGAAAACTACACTCTTCAGGGCAAGGACTCCCCCCAACCCCCAACATTTATAAACAGGTCAAGTCTGATGTAGATTGGCATTCAGGGTGGAGGAGGTAGGAATGGGGAGGGGGAACCCGGTAACTGGGGAGGGGCGGGACGCCTCCCCGGGGTTGGAGGGATTCAAGACGGAATGCTTACATAGCAGAGATTTGCTAATAGTAGTTCCCAGTCTTGTCTACTTCCTCCTCCTCCTCCTCCTCCTCCTCCTCCTCCTCCTCCTCCTCCTCCTC